TTTCCTTGAAAAATTGGAAGACCTAGCATCACTGGGTTGGACTCTCAAACATCAAAAACTGGCTGAAGCTGAATATGGGCTGTCCCTTCTCTGAAGGGCATGTGCTCTCCAGTGTGCCCCAGTTCCATCAGGCCTGTGTCCCTCATTTACTTTCCAGGCCTTCATAGGGACTTGAATTTGTGACCCCTGAACTTTATCTCATGACTACTTACTCATGAATCAACTCATCTGTTGCAGGATATTTTAGGATATGGAATTGCTCCATGAGCCACTTTCCAGGGCACTAGAATTAGACATAAACCAAAGAACTATAATTTGTCACCTGAACTGGGTGGAAACAGAAAGCCCTCGTGTTGTCTTTTTCTTGTTCATTTTTTCCCCCTGTAATTATTCTTACCACAGCTACCAAGTTTGAAATCTAGTAAATTAAATATACAGTACTAACCTAATTATCAACTTCAACTAGAGCTAGGAAGGTGAGTTTCTAGAACAAAATAATTTTTCCTCATCTTAAAATTAAGTTTTAATGTTTTCTTTTGTTTTTAAAGAATCCATGTAGAGGTAAGGCAAAGTTCGTTTCCCCACCTAAATCACAGAAAGCATATTTCCGGAAGAGGCTTCTTAAATAATCTTGGTAACTACTACTTAACCTGGCATGAATGATTTTAAAACATTTTCACTTACCCGGTTATAAAGCTGTGTATACATAGTCATAACAAAAATGAAGGCAGCGTGAATACAACCCAGGGGTGCTAAAAGGAGAAAGAGTGTGAACGAAGCATGATTTTGGTAACCGCAACAGTTGTTGATCCAAGGACAGTGATGGTCCATCTTCATCACACACCTAACAAGAAAAGTTTATATGAATCATGAGGCAGAAAATCCTGTCTACTCTGAATAACTCTGGTGTTCAAATAGGAACCCAGCATGTCCATGAGTCACAGAGGAATACTTCATGGAACAGAAAGAAAAACCTTGATGAGTTTTTAAACAACTCAGAACAGTGGCTTCTTTTAAATTCTAAACAGCACAAGAAAGGGCAGTCTTTGTATCAGCTTCTGAGGAAAAGATGTCTGCTACTTGTGAGTTTGTTTGAAGGAGTCAGGAGGCCCACAGAGAGGCTCATTATAAAGAAATGAGCATGGTTCCTGGTTTTCCTCTGGCTCTGAAATGCAGTGACTGAAGTGGAATACATTAGAGACTCAGCGAAGTCACGTCTAAATCTCCACTGGGGTTGATGGGACCTAGCAGGCGCCTGTAACTTCCTTCCTTCCTGTCCTCATCCTTTAAATGCAGTCTCTGAGCTAAGCCAGCAACTAGGAACTACAGGATGTGGTGTAATAAGTGCAGTCGCACTGGGCTTCCTTCCCTTGTTGCTAGCAGAACATTTCCTGACCTCAGACCAACTTTATATGCTTCCAGTTCCCCTGAACCTCAATATTCTCATTAGAAATTTCTTATTCATTAGTGGATATAGCTGTTCATTTTAAAAAGTTCTAGCTTAGTTCCTTTTTCATAGTGACTCCGTTTCCTTTCCATTAAGGTTTTTATATTAAACACTTATGATAATAGGCACTTGGATTCATTTACTAGATTTGTATAAAGTGTAAATGTTAGTCAACTAAATAATGGAAAAAGCAGCTCTTCTAAAATGGAGATTATGGACACTTAAGTATTTTGACAATATTTTCTATAAAGTAGTCACAATGCAGAAAATAAAACTAGGATTGATGTGGCAGAAAGAACCACAAAAGGCCACTCGTCAAGTGGATCAGTCCCCGATGAATGAAACTGACAAACAGTACCTGTTACACTTTCGGCAGTGATGTGACCGTGGCGCCTTGTACCCTTGGCAGACTTTACAGTATTGGAGGTACATGCTATCCTGAGAATTTTCCTTGGCAGCAAAATGTAAACAAAAATAAATCAGATAACTGACCCTAAGAAATAACAAGCTTATGAATAAATGCTTTTCTATGGTTTGATGTCCTGCTAGGGCAATGGGGGTAGAAATGGAATCTTAGCTTGCATTTCCAGCCCTTTGATTTGAGCTAAAGTATTTTTAAATAACAAATTTCTGTTAACAGCAGCAGCACTCTCCCAATTACTGAGAAGTCATTTTTAATTTCTTTTTTATGTGCTCCACCCAAATCCATTGGCACTGAGTATAGCTGGTTCTACTTATCCAAAATCTTAGTAAAAAGGGAATTTAGAAACAAAGTAGCTGACAACTTTAGGGTGGGGATTCAAATATCAGAGCTAATCCTCTTAACAACATTCCCATAATACAACTCTACGTCAGAGCTCTGCTTAAAAACCTCTAATAACTCCCTATGGTCTAACAATTTCTCATGTATGTGAGACATTCCACAATCTGCTTTTGTTTCAGGTTTCTCTGCACTACACAATCTGGCTATTGTTTCTGAAGACACTCTCCCCCCATTTTCTCAACTTGAAACGCCTTCTTCCCCATCTTCTGTGGGGATTTCCACTCCTCCCTTAGGTCCCCAGCAGAAAATGATCACTTCCTTCTAGCTTCAACAGCACTCACCACATCTACCCTATAGTTTAGCCATCTGCACAAGTGCCTTGCCAAGATCTTCCAGAACATGAATTGTGTCTTACCCATTTCTGCACCCACTTCATATAGGACACTAGAGCTTCTCCAATTTTAATATACCTAAGAATCATTTGGGGATTTTATTAAATGCAGATTCCGATTCAGTAGGAATGGAGCCCAAGATTCTGTATTTCTACCAAACTACCAAACGACATCCCCCAACAATACAAAAATTCATAAGCATAAACTTTTTAACAAATTTTAAGAAGCTATAAGTTGATTCATACTGTTGTCCTTCCCAATTTTCACTGCAATGTTTGAAAAAATTTATGATTTAAGCGAGGTGTATGAGAGGCAGTGTTTCTTAAACTTATGACTGTGGACTCAACCCCCCTCCATTTAAAAAATTTTTTTTTAATGCAAGACAAGTATTCAGTTAAATTGCTTTGGGAAATACTAATTTAGATCAATGTTTTCAAACAGGTATGAAATAAATTATTTGAGCTTTAAATGATCATGATTAGAATAATATGCTTAGCCTCTACCAAAGCAAAAAGTAGTTTGACATTATTAGTTAGAAGACAAAGCAAAAACGAAATACATGATTATCATTAGAGTTCATCATCTGAAGGGATCTTTTTCTTACCGGTTTCCACCCGAGAGGGACAAAGCCAGGACCAACAAACATGGCATTAAAGTAATTATAAAGAATCATGACAGTCCAGTTGATCAACATGATGAAATTCACGCTCCCTCCCGTTGTATGTAAGGGCCAATACCACAGCACAGAGTCGATCATGGCCATCGCAGAACATATTGCTATAACACCAAGGGCTATAACAGGACCCCAGTGACACAGTCTCTTTAATTCCTGGAGATTTTCAAACTTGATAACTGAGCAGAATGTGCCCATTTTGGTGAGGAAGCATGCCTTCCTATCTTTAAAGAATTACAGGTTTCTTTTTCCTGTGCACACATTTCCATGTGCCACGAGTCCACGTGTGTTCCTGAATTGTCATGCCTTCAAGTTGTGTGCTGTTAATGCAGATTATGCCATTTTCACTGTCACACACTCAGAGCTCTTTATCTCAACTAGGAGAATCCAGTGCCTTGGTGTGAAACCCAAGCTACGGAAAACGAAATGAGAAAGTTCAGTAAAAAGTGTTATTATCTACTATATTTAACTCCAATAACCACCTGAACAAAAAGCATCTCACAAATGCACAACCATGAGATGAGGATCTGGTCAAATGCCAAACAGAGCTATTTTTATCTTCTCCAAAATAAGGCTCAAGTCTAAATGGCATGTAAACTGAATACATGATTGTCAGGGGACTGATTGATTGCCCAACGTTTAGTGAATGGTTTGAGGAGACAGCAAGAATTGGGGAACTGGGAAGCAGGTTCATCTAATCATCTCCTTCTTCCTAGCAAAGAAATTGGCTTGGAGGGGCTCAGTGATTAGACCAAGGTCACAGTTAACAGCTGAACCCAGCATAGAAACCAAGTCACCAAACTCCCTTTGCAGAGTTCTAAACTACCTCCTACCGAGTTTCGAATTAAGTTTTATGAGCCAAACATGGTCTACACCATTTGCCTGCGGGGGCCCCCAAAACGCCAACAGGAGGGTCTCTTTGGGCAAAAAGGTAAGGAAACAAGAGAGAGAAAGCAAAGACAGAGTGCAAAAAGGAGGGAGGAGGCAGGAGGTGTGTGTGGGAAAGAACATTAATAAGTATATTGAAGAGGGTGAAAAGCAGAGGAAGTGCTTCCTGGAGCGAGGGGCGGGGAGGACAGGAGGGCGAGCGACGGGCAGATATGGAGAAGGGTATTTCTGATGGGACTGCAGTGAATCAGGGGAAGAAGATGTGAGGTATAAGGCACTCAAGACTTCCACGCTTCACATGCCGCTGCCTTGTGCCTCAGTTTCCCGCCCGTGTCATGGAGTACAGCGCTTAGAAATCCTCCCTCAGAGGGACATCCTGGTAAGCGTGGTTGGTCCCAAAGAACTGGAGATTCTGGCCTCACTTGGGTGGGGTGAAGACCACCAAATTCATGGCTACATCCCCAGCCTTGACTCCCACCTCAGTTCTGGCCCTTGGTGCCCGCTCCTCGGCCATCGCATTTCCGGGGCAGCCTGGGCTCACCCGGAACAGGTTTTCTCCTTTTCGGGTAACTTCATCATGGGTACCTCAATCCAGCGCGAGCAGAAAGCAAATCCTGGTAGCTAGAGGCTGGAGTGTGGAATCCGCAACGCCCGGCCGGCGCCTCCGCCAGCGCTCTCGCAGTCGCGCTCCCGCTCAGGCCCGGTGCGCAGGCTCCGTGGGGGCCACTTCCGGGAGACCAGCCGCATCAAACTTCCCTTCCGAAGCCGGCTACTGCGCCTGGAGCTCGGGGAGGTGGAGCCGCTTTCCAGAACGTAGAGGGCCCCCCCCCCCCCCCCCCCAAAAAAAAAAGTGCCTTCCGTGATCCCTGAGAACCCGAATATTTTTTGAGCCATTTGGGGGCACTAATTTGAAGTGGTTGTGCTTAGCAAATTTCTTAATTTTGAAGCCTGAGCGGAAATAAAAAGCACACCCGGCCCCATTTCCAGAGGACCGAGATTGCGTCGGACAACCAGGAAGCGGCCCGGCTGGGAGCTGTCCCCTGTGCTCCACTCTGCAGTCCAGGGCAGCTCCCAGGCTCCCTACACGGTGTTCCCTGGTGACCCCTGCCCCGACCTAGGCTCCAGCCCGGGCCTATCACTCCGGAGCCACCATGTCGTCCGACTTCGAAGGCTACGAGCAGGACTTCGCCGTGCTCACTGCAGACATCACAAACAAGATTGCAAGGGTCCCCCGACTCCCGCCTGGTGAGAGCCCTACCCTGGCCGGGCGGGGGTGGCCCGCAGAGCCCGGAGGCTCGGGCGATGGAACGCCGCCTGAACAAGTGTCTCCGAGGCGCGAGGCTGGCGTCAGGTGGTGCAGGGGCCCTCCCGGAGGGATGGAGCTTGAATTCGTTGAGGGTAAAGGGACAGTCCAAGCTGGATTGTGGAGTGCAGTGAAAAGAGCTCTTCTGGGCTCCAGTCCGGACTTCGCCACCTTGTTACCTGTATACTCTTGGGAATGTTTCTCTGAATCTTAGGTGGTGGTGGTGGTGGTTGTATGTTTGTTTGTTGGGTTTTTTTGGTTTGTAAAATATAGAGATGTGAGAGTATTAAAAAAGAATGAATGAACGTACCTAGATTATGGGTCTGACGTTTTGTTAGTAATGACGTTAGTATTATATGCAACAAAACAAGGTAAAGAGCCATGGTGCCAGGATTCATGTATCAGCTCTGCCACATAGAAGTTGTGGCATTTAGGCAAGTTTTTAACCTTTCTCAACTTTCCTGCTTGGTAAAATGGGGAGAATGTGTAGGTCTCTTAGGGTTGTTATGAAGATTTAAGCTATTTTAACATATGCAACACCTTTCCTTGGTGTTAACCTGCTATTACCATTACTATTTTTCATACCCCCATTTATTATTTCTCATTCTTCTTGGAGCATGGGGGAGTCCATAACCCAATTTTATGTAAAAGTTGGTACAGGCTAACTTTTCTCACTTTTCAAATTTCACAACTTCCATCTAGAAGTGTTTTTGTTTTTGTGCTTTATTTTAACCCATCTTATTTCTATGCTAGACTTTCAACTGTGGGAAGGGGGCAGTTATGTTTGATTTTATTGGCATTTACTTAGAAGGGACTCGGACTCATAACATATTTAAGTAAATGAACATATATATATATATATATAAATGTGATATTTTGTGACTTGTTTGTAAGACATTGTTTTAGGATTTATCATCCTCTAAATACAGATTTAATGTAAGTAGTTAGTGGCAAATAAGATTGTTACTTTTTTACTTTGTTTTGTTAGGGAAATTGAACCATCAGTGAAATTTAGCTCTGGGTATGAAGTGTAGAAGTGTTCGCTGATCTGTGAACCAGTGAGCACTTCGCTGTCCCACCTTGTTAGTCAATCCTAGATGCCGGCAATAATTTTCCTGGACCTAAGTTGTCATTCCTCTTTCCCTTTCCCTACCTCCCCCCAAACTTATGTGTTTAAAATAATTTTCTTCCTTTATTTCTTTGTTTTTCTTCCCCCCACCCATTTTCTGTTAATAGGGATATTTGCTTGAAGCCAGGATCTCAGAATTAACACCCCACTCATCTCCTGAAGTCCCAGTTAGTTCTGAAGGAGGTGGATGATGTCTTAAAGAGGTTTATGAGTCCAAGTGAGGGAACAAGAGGAGAGAACCAAGGTGGCTTATACCACCGAGCTCTGCTGCTTCAGAGATTTTTGTGGAGAAAGTGGCTGATGGCCTCATCACTTCGTGATACACCACCTCGCCTCTTCTCTTCAGTTTTTCTCCACTGCCCAAGATCATCTTGATTTTTGTTGTCATTATAGTTGGAGACCACTTCCTTTGACTGCAGTCCCAGAGCCTCAGAATATCAGGATTTGGGGTTTCAGTTGGATTGTTGCTCATTTTTAATTGTAATAGTTTTAGCAGTAGAAACATTTTTTGTTGGGGCTAATTGCTTTTATACCAGGAAGCTGTTTTATAAAGTAACAAAGTCATCCCTGAGTGTAAAGTTGTAAAATTATTTCCAAGAAAGCAGGTTTTGTTACAATTTTTTTTTTGGCTTGTCTTTGTATTTTAGCATAATCATTCTTACCACTTAGAAGGAAACAAATGAAGTATGTTAAAAAGCCTTGATTCTCCTTAGCTATAGTACAGTGTAAGGCCCAGACATTGCCGCTACATTAAGCAGTGAAAGGAGACTTTGACTTATGAATAATTGAATACTAGTAATTCTTAAAAACATAATGGTTTCCTCCTAGTAACTACTGTGCTTGCTCACTTTATAATCTATTTCTAGTTGATAAATAGAAAAAGATGAGAAATATACCTACATAGTTATGAATTGTGGATATATGTTTGTGGACTAGCAGAAATATGTACAATCATGGCAAAAAAGTTATAAAGAATTATTATAATCTTTGTTTTTGAGCATCACTAGTGGTCGACTCAGAAGAGATGAACTATAATTTACTTCAGTTAAGAAGGTTGAAAATTGGAGCAAACTTTTCAGCTAAAGCAGTTCATTTTCTAACATAGTAACTAATATAAATTGAGAGTAAGATTACAATGTAAGTAGAGAGTGGGATTGATTGCAATTAACTCTCTGCTGTGCTTGTACAGTGTGTTAAGGTGTTATTTCCAAAGAGAATAGAAAAGATTGAATGTTTTTAAACTTCATTTAAAAAAAAGAAATTTGATTGCTCTGTGATATGTTTTCAACAATAAAGAGACTTTGCTCTTAGACTAAAGTGTTTGGATCTTAACTGATTTTTGAAATTGGAGTAATGAGATGGATCAGTCCCTTTATGGTGTACCCTTGTGGCACTGTATTTGAAAATTGATTTTAATGATTAGCGTTCTGTGGTAAAGTCAGGAAAATGGATGCGTGGAAACTGTAATACTAACTGTGAGGTTGCTTTTCTTCTGGCGATGAATTCTAAGTCAGGGGGGTACTTTCACAGGTGAATAAGTTTCATTACAGCAGGCAGGTTTCCTGAAGGATCTTAAATAAAATGTTCTATTGCAGTTAGCTGTCTACCTCATCATTCACAGAGCCATAAGTGGTCTATTTTGAAGCCTATCACTTTGGGGCTATAGTCAGAAATACCAAGAAAGGTATTATGGCAAATTGGTTAAGATTCGCACATGGCATCAAATCTATTTAGAATCCCAGCTCTGCCATTTAATAGAAGTGCAATTTGGGGCAAATTGCTTGGCCTCTCTAAGCTTGCTTCTGTCTATAAAACTGTGTGTGGGCAGGGGCAGTAATAGTTTCAACCCTACAATGTAAAAATCAAATGAAATGAAGCATGTGACATCCTAGCACATTGTTTTTACCCCAGAGAAAGTACACGATGAATTAGCCATTAGTGATGGATGTTATTGCTGCTGCTGATGAAAGAGCTGATAGGATTAGTCAGGACTCAGCTTCTCAGACTTTGTTATGTTAATTGAACCCTTAAAGGAACCTTGGGCCTCCATTCTTGTTTTCTTTCTGTGCCTAGACTAGAGTTAGATGACTCACTCTTGATGAACATCAGCATTTGAAGGGAGATGAATGATCAGGGACATTGGGATATGAAATTGTATTGGGATTTGAACTCAGGATATCAAGGAGGGAGTCGGGGAGAGAAGTGGAAGTGGTGGAGCAAGATGAGTGTCCTTTCTGGGAGGAAATGCTCGAGTCTAGCTGATGAGTTATGCTAAGCCCTGGAGACTTGGAGACAGACACAGCTATGTGTGGAAGAAGCCATAAATGCACTATCATTCTCTGTTGCTTTTACCAGGTGGTTGTAGTGAGAGAATTCAGAAACGTCTGCTTCCATTTCTGAGTTTTTTGGTTTGCTTCAAATATATGTGGCTCTGGAACTGTAATGTCCCCATGTAACTATTGAGCACCTGAAACGTGGGTATTGCCATGTAGTGAAATGAGAATATTTTGGATATATTGGGTTATTATTAAAACTAAAACTATATATATACATATATATACATATATATATGTATATATATGTATATATAACTAATTTTACTTGTTTCTTTTTACTTTTAAAAGATGTGGCTACTAGAAAATTTTAAATTACATAGTGGCTTGCATGCATTACATTTCTGTTTTTCTAGAGAGTTAGAATTGAAGGGGTGGTTCCGGTCTTAATTCAGGCGCTCAGGTGCAGTGAGTCGCAGAAGAGGGGTAGGACTTGAGTTAGGTATACCCACGCACACGCCCACACTCTTATCCCAGAGGGATCTCTCTCCCTTCAATAACTTAGTTAACCTAAGTAATGGCTTCAGTGATTTTTTGAAAATGAGCTTTTCATTTTAAAATGGGTTTAGAGTTACAGAAAAATCACACAGATAATCCAGAGAACCCCTCTATACCCCATGCCCCGGTCCTCTGCTGTTAACATCTTGTTAATGGGACACACCTGTTGAAGCCAGTGAACCCGTATTAATACGTTACTAGTAACTGAAGTCCTTACTTAATTCAGATTTCCTTAGTTTTTTGCCTCATGTCCTTTTACTGTTCTAGGATCCATTCCAGGTTACTACAAAACATTTGGTAGGCATGGCTCCTTAGGCTCCTCTTAGCTGTGACAGTTTCTCAGGCTTTTCCTTATTTTTAATGACTTTAGAGTTTAGCAGGACACTGGTCAGATATTTTATAGAATGTACCTCAACTGGGATTTGCCTGATGTTTTTCCCCTGGTCAGACTGGGGTTATAGGTTTTGGGGGGGGAAGACCACAGAGGTAAAGCACCATTTTCATCAAATCATAGCAAGACTAGGTATTGTAACAGAAGTTACCACTGCTGATGCTAACTTTGATCTTCTGGCTGAGGTAGTGTTTGCCGGGTTTCTCTACTGTAAAGGTACTCTTATCTCCCCTTTTCCAGACTGTTCGGAAGGAAACTATACGCATAGCCCTCACTGAAGGAGCAGGGGTACTGCCCTGCCTCCTTGAAGGCTTAGTATCTACATAAATTATTTGAAATTCTTCTATACAGGAGCGATTTGTCTATTCTCAGTTTACTTACTTAATCATTTATAACCACAGACTCATCATATATATTTTATATATATCTTATAAAGTATTTTATACTTCATGTTATATTCTAATACGACTTTATTTTGTTGCTCAGATTGTTCCAATTTTGACCATTGGAAGTCCTTTCAGTTGACTTCTGTATCCTTTTGATATACCCCCATCATTGTGGGTTTTTTTGTTTGTTTTTTTTCTTTTTAGT